GAGTGTCGGGCCCTGGCCGACGCCTCTCTGCCTGCCCCTCCTCCAGCCTGCCCGGTCCCCGGAACCTACCCCGGCCGCTCTGCGAGCGTACCCCTGCCGCTCGGCTGCTCTGCGGTCGCTCCCAGTCCGCGCGCCGCCGCCTCTGGTCTACGTCTCCGCCGAGTGGCGCAGGCGGCGCTGCTGCGGCTGCGAGCAGAGAGACCCCAGAGCTGCCGAGAGCTCCCTCTGCAAGGCTGGCTGAGCTGCTCGCGCCTCGACGCTGCCTGAGCGGGCGGGGGGACGCGCGCTCGCCGCCCCCGCCGGGCCCGGCTGCGCCCCCAAACTCGCGCCCCAGCTCCTCGCTGGACCTGACTGGTGCGGCCCCACACAGTGGGCGGAAGAGACTCGAGTTCCGCACCGTGTCGTTTTCCTACAGCCAGGGTCGGACTCCTCTTGTAATGATAGCCTGACTTTGTGCGCTAAGAGATCTCAAAGGGATCGAAACTTAACTTCACTCTGATCTCAAGTGACGTGACAAATTCCTGAATTCGGGATTATGGGCTTGTTGAATTGGTTTAGGCGACCCTTGAGTTTCCCTCCCGCTTTAAAATGTCCTGACACTGAGTTAGTACAGTATTTAGTACCTGATGCTTTAGGGCTAGGCGAAGGCACTTCTGCCCCGGGATTGTGCAACCTGATCTAAAGCTCCAGTAGGGCAGAATGAATTTATTCTTGACTCCACTGGTAATTTGCCCATACGCTGAAATATGAGGGTTGATGTTGTAATTGAATCCTGGGTCGCTAGCTGCAGTTGGTTTATAAATATCTACGCCTAATGTAACTACTCTTTAGTAGCTGACTTCCTGTAGCCCAGAGTTCAGCGTTAAGTAAACATTCGCATAAGTAGTCTTCAAGCTTGGAGTTTAAATCAAGTAGGAAAGTTAAAAATCTAAGTTCCCTATAGGCGGCAAAAGAAGTTAAACAGGACATGTATATTAAGTTTACTGCCCTCAGCTGTCTTAAGTCATTAAAAAGCTTCCTGCTAAATTGTCAGAGTTATCTCTTTTTCCCCTTTCCTCAAGTATTCTAGTACTTTAATATAGTATCGTGCAGCAGCAGTTGATACATTAACTCGGTTGCTTTGGAGAGAGGGAAATCTTGATTAACTTTTTTTTTTAAGACTATGTTAAATTTATGAGGAAATTAAAACAGGCTGGCACTAAACAAAGTTGTTGGGTCTGCTCAACCTGTAGGATTTTGCAGCAATCTGCATCTACAGTAGTCTTTCAACATCCCTTTTTCAAATTCTACAAAATGTCCCTTCTCCCCCCTCCTACAGTAAAAGTAAAATTGCACTAACAAATACAGTAGTATTGATGAAGTGCAGGTTTGGTAATAGAACCATGCTTAATTGTTTAATAAATTAGTCTATGTAGGTTTTTTTTGCATTTGTGAGATTTTCCACATTGTGGATGGCAGGTGGTCTGTTTTACTTATAAAAATAATCTCTACACAGGTTAAAAATTAAAATCCAGAAGATCTATATTGGGCCAGGAATAAAATTTGTTTTCCCTGGTTAGTGTTATGCTCCACAGACCATGTTTTGTTTCTTCGTTTAGTTCTGCCATATGCAGTCATCGGCCTCTTAGTCTTCCATGTTATTTATGCTCTTTTAGTGGTGTAGACTCCACAGAGTTGCTGTCCTTTGAGATTTCCTATATGCCAGGATTCATACTTTGTTTTTATTGGAAAATGAAATCTACAGAGAATGAATTGAGGATATAAGGTTACCCAAAGGAGCTTATAACTTAAATCAATAAGATGAAGAAGATTACAACAGGAATGTTTGCCCACTTAAGAAAATATTTAAGAGGAATTGTGAAAGTCATCCTTAGGGGTCTATTTAACCAACATAAGAAAATTTAGAAGTTGTAAAAGTCATTCTTAAGACTATTCCAATTCTAAGAGGTTTAAGATACAGCTTTAAAGAACACACAAAAATGAGGAACTTCTTTGGGTGGCTTAGGGAGCTCTTTGGGAGTGCAGGGGCCACCTGCGGCTGACTAGGGCCCCAAGGGAGAGTCCTGTGGCAGAGCCTTTCACAGTGGTGTCTGTTGGCGAAAAGTCCACCTCTAGAAACTGTTTTTTTGCTACTGGCATCAAATTCACTCCCCATCATGTATAGCTTCCATTTCATTTTTTTAAACCAGAGACTTAGTTGATCATCTGTTTACCTTACTGACCTGTCTCAGTCCCGGATGACTTCAGGCGTTTGGCCAAAAATTAGGTCCCTCTTCAAACAACTAAAATTTGTCATAATTTAATACTTTGAGAAAGAGCATACAGGTTTGGAAAGAACAATAATGGCAAATAATGCATAACCTTGAAGACCCTGGTTTGCAGTTGGATGTGTGGATTTGGCGTACCATGTTTGTTTTTCTAAACATTAAACTTTCTCTAGTCACCATGTTCAGATCTTCACTGGCAGGTCTGCATTTTCTTAGTGATTAATATTTCAGTGCAAAGATGGGACATTGCTTATAGACTGCTAATGTATGCATTGAGAATAGTGATTTTTCTATACTTGGTGTTCATTTTTAGTTACCTCTAGAATGTTCAGGTATATAAAATCTCCTCCCTTTGAGGCATGCTAGTAACACTATATGGACTCTAATACAAAAGTGTTTCTTGGACTAGATATGCTGATCCTCTTTTCAAGATGTAAATTGCCTCTCAACAGAGAAGACTTTTCTTTAGCTTCTAAGAAAGTATTATATTAGCTTAGTTTTGTGAGCTTTAGTTAATTATGAGATAGATTCCTTTGTAGTTGTACCTTATATGCCAAATTCCTTGGAAACTCTTAATTCAAATTTAGCACTTCCATTTCATTTGGAAGTTTCTTTTCTTTTTTTACTTTGGAAGTAAGTTCCACTCTACTATTACCTAAAACTTAAAATTTGACAATTCATATATTTGTAATTTGGGGATAAAATTATCAGCTAACAAAAAAAGTATTTCATTGCTGTGCTTCTAGGAATTTCAAGACAGTGAAAGCCCTTCCTTCCTGAAGATAAGGAAATAATACTGTTAAAGGACTATTAATTACTACATCTATAAGAATTAATTTTTCTGTCAGCTCAAATATATATATACGTGTGCCATTATTTCCCTGCAAGGTCATAATGGGGTATTTTTTTTTTAAAGATTTTATTATTTTTTTCAGTAATCTGAAGTTACTATTTTTTCAGTAGTCTGTTGGGTGTAGACTCAACATGGGGCTCAAACCCACAACCCCAAAATCAAGTCTCATGCTCCACCAACTGAGCCAGCTAAGCACCCCAATGGTGCTATTTTGATAACCACAGATCTTTAGTCCTTTATATATTTAGCAAATATATAAAGAAATAAGTGTTTTATTACTGGTTTGGTAGAATTTATGGAATGCCTCATTTAGTAATGTGATGTATCAGAACCAGTATATTGTTTTTTAACCAATTTTGTCAGCTTTTATCTTGCCCTCAATTTGCTTTTCATATTATATGTGCAGTTGTGTGTATTTGGTGTTCATAAAATGATTTATGTTTCTGCTTTAGAATGGTCACAGATCTGGAGCCAAAGACCAAGATGCACTAGTGGACAGGTTGCTGCCCAGGGGCTTGAGAGCTGGGTTCTGTGTTCTCTCCTGAAACTGACTTTGCAGCCACGGAGAGGTAAATGCTCTTTCCATTTCTTGGTCTTGAAGATGGGAGTAATAAATCCTTTCTGGGGTTGGAGGATTTGCTATATTGTTCTTGGGTATAGAAGATGCAGGACAGTGAATAATTGAGGGCATACATGTTTTATAGTCAGAGTCCTCAGTTTGAAACTCTGCACTGGCATATACTAGCTGGGTGACACTGAGCACGTTACTTAACTTCTCTACTCCTATGGTCCCCATTTGTGAGAGAACAACACCAATTACAGAGGCTAGGCTCTAGGTTGGTGAGAATGTGTATAAAGCATTAAGTATCATTCTGAGCATGTACATAGACCCCAGGAAATAGTTGTTTTTCTGCAGAAACCCTTGGAACGTATATTTTGGTTATTGACAAATGACGTCAAGAGTCCATGGCCTGTGGCAATTTGAAATTTTGATGAGCAATAGATGGAATCCTATTTTTTTGGAAATGGATCCTAGATAAAAGTTGTCTTAATTAATTTGAATTAGCCTAGTTGATGACCCATTTTTGTAGCAGTATTATATTCATTATCAGTAACATTTTGAAACATTTTAAGGGGTCACTTAAAATTTACTGTAGCCTACAATTTCTGCTATAAAATATAATGGACTTTATAGGGAACTTGGAACAGGCCTCATAAATATTGACATCTACTAGGCTTTGGAATCTCATAAACAACAAAGTAGGGTTCTGGGTAGGAAAATTATCTCTTCTCAGGCTATTAGAATACACATCCTTCTTGTCCCTTAGAAAATGTGAAAATAATTTAATTGTACTTGTGTAACAGCAAAAGGGAAAGGTGGGGAGTTATAAATGCTGACATTAGATAAGCTTATGTGAATGAATCATCTAAGTGACTACTAAGATTTTTCTTACAAGCTGTGTTGGAGCAAATAGAGAGGAGGAAGGGAACAGGAATGAAAACTCTACTATTCAAATCTGTTTTCCATGAGCAGCTTAGTACATTGATAGGTGGGAAGGACAAGGTCTGTGTGCTAGGATTCTGTCACTCAAGAAATAATTTGTGCCCTGCAGGTTTTTTTAAGGAGTGTTGACACAGAGTACATATTAATGAGCTCCTGAAAAGAAAAACAATACTGATTTAAAAAGCTGTTGAGAAAACTAGCCTTAAGAGTTTGGGGAATGGGGTTGTAGGAACGTGTTGGTCACTTTTAAGTATTATGGCAATTTAATTGTTTAGATCCCTGTTTCTCAAACTGGGATATGAATACCCTTAGGGTACAAAGTGGTATGATTCCGGGGTACTTGAAGCCACAAGATAAGCATGACCCATCTTCTTGGAGCTTCAATTGTGCTCATTGAGGGGGCGGTGAGTTAAGTAATTTGACTGGTAAGTAATTTTTAAATTTTTACATTAAAGCAAATACATATTTTAGGATCAGAATGGGAACTCTGTATAGACTGTTGAAGAGAACCCAGGTTTTCAGCAAAGTGGGTCATGAGTCCCTAGGGAATAAGAATCGTCCTTTGTATAGGTACTACAGTGGAAACATTTGAGAAGCAATAGTTCTGAGCTATGGAACAGCTCTGTCATCCAGCTCCTTACTTTGTTCCCTGTAGCATCCTATTGTGGAATATAGACATTAAATTGTATTAAATCGGTGCTTGTTTGCTTGCATGCATGTTTCTACAGGTACCCAACATGCACAATTGGTAGACAGTTGGTAGACACCAATTGGTAGACAGTTCTAGATGGCGGACCAAGTCAGAAATACTGTCATTAAGACCATTCCAATGACCTAATTATAATTTAAAAAGAAAAAAAAAATTTTTTAAACAATGAACAGACTCAGGTCTGAAACTGTAAAATGGGGTGTTCGATTGGTTCAGTCCATAGAGCACGAGACGCTTGATCTCAGCAGGAACTCTTAATGAGTTCAAGCCCCACATTGGGCATGGAGCCTACTTTGTAAAAGGCCACACATCATTTGGGGTGCCTGGGTGGCTCAGTCAGTTGAGTTTTTGACTCTTGATTTCAGTTCAGGTCATGATCCCAGGGTCATGGGATCAAGCCCCATGTCAGGCTCCACACTGAGTGTGGATTTTGCTTGGGATTTTCTCTGTCTTCTGCCCCTCTCCCCTGCTTACACATGTGCTGTCTCTCAAAAAAAAAAATTTTTTTTTAACTGTAAAATAAATTCTACAAAACAAGATTTTGAAAGCAAATGTCATATTAACTCCAGCATAATTAACAATTTATACTGATTTGTTACCTCCCCATTCAAGTTAAGTATTAAGAGTCTTAATAATATGTCTAAATCTTAAGCTTGTAGACCTTGTGATTCCTAAGACAGTTATTTAGAAGTGTCTATTTTTTTATTATTACCTATTGTTACTAGTGTATTGCTCTTAATTAAGTGGCACATAAGAAATACATTTTCTATACTGACAATATCTGCTGTTTGAATACAAGTTTTATATTTGAACCTAATTTGTTCTAGATATCATGGAGTGTGAATTTCTCTGAAATTATTTGAATTGGATCAGCCTGAATATTTGGATGTACTCTAAATATTTGTAGTATTTGTTGAATACTTGTATTCATTCCATTCTTTGAACACTTGCCTTTCTACTTTGTGCCAGGCACTGTGTTACATACTGGGGATTTGAATCCCCAGGGATTTCTTAAATAAGAAAAAGTTTGTTTTTCTGAGAGTCTTGAGTATAGGGAAGAGATTAAGTGTTGTTTGTGCTCTGATAAAAGTGTGTTCAGGATGCAGAGAGGGTAGTCTGTTACAGGAGTTGGTGAAAGATTTTGAGAAAGGCTTTCTGGAGGAGAGATCTTGATCTAGGTATATCAAGAAATTCAGAAGCAGTATAAATTCGATTTTAATCCCATTAGGGCACCAAGGTTTAGTCACTGCAGCTTAATAGCTATGTAGCCTTGGGCAAGTCCATCAAGTGTGACTTCCTTGTGCCTTCCTTTCCTCATTGGTAAAATGATGTATCTACCTTGTTATAGGCTATGGCAGTTAGATGAAGTATTGTTAGGGGGAAACCCATGTATTTGTAATGGTAATGTGCTATATAGAAGTAAAGTGATAGTCTGTAGACAATAGAATAGTGGGTCAATGTATATATTTTGCATTAAGCTACAGTGATGACCACCAGACTGTACAGAAGTTAAGTGAATCAAGTAAATTGGGACTTTGTGGATGAGAAAATAACATTAATCAAAATCTCTTGAGCAGCAGAGAAATGGATGAGTAAACAGGGCTATACCCCATGTGAGAGTAAAGTTTGACAACCACAAAAAGAAACTAATTGGGAAGACTCTTAGCCAGCAAAATGTCTATGAATTTTTTTTAATATAGTTCCAAAAAAAGAAATTGTTATGGAATAAAAGTAAAGAAAACCAAAAACATGGCACATAGCAAGAACTTAGTGTGTAATTGAATGAATACCCCAGGAAAAATACAAAACAGACATGAAAACACTGGTCAAAATAAAATAAAGAACTAGTAGTGCAAGGGTGGTTAAGTTTGGAGTAACTTTTTCTAGCTTTTCTAGTTTGTATAAGATTTTATAACGCAAATAAATTTTTCCCTTTTTTTTTTTT